AGCGTACTCCCTTTGCTGCTTCACTCCTCAAATGCCTACAACAGCTAGGGCTAGGCCAAGGCTGAAGCTGGAAGCTTCAATCCAGGTACCCCAGATGGGTGGCAGGAACCCACTTGCTTAAGCCATCACCTGCTGCCTCCCAGCATCTGCTTTGACAGGAAGCTGGAATAGGGAGTCAGAACTGGGAATTGAGCCAAGGCATTCTGATATGGCATTTTAAGTGTTCAGCCAAATGCTTGCCCCATGTTCAAATATTTTTAAGCACTGGCAAACTGAAGAAAAGGAGTTTAAAATAAAATTAAATAAATTATAAAATGTTTGAACTAGAAGAAATCTTAGAAATTATGCAACAAGGCACCTTTTATAAAGAAGTGGAAATTCTGAGATGTGAAATGATTTGTCCAAGCCTACACTATCCTTTAGCAGCAGACCTGGGATTAGAAGGTGTCATTGTCTCAGATTATTATCCTCTGGTTTAATTTAGCAAATATTTACTAAACATCAACTCCTGAGCTATATAATAAAGAGGATTAAGGGAAATAAATAGATATGTTTATTGAGCTCTTTCTTGTGCTAATTTTATTTTATTTGACAGGTAGAGCTATAGACAGTGAGAGAGAGAGACAGAGAAAGGTCTTCCTTCTGTTGGTTCACTCCCCAAATGGCCACCACAGCCGGCGCTGTGCCGATGCAAAGCCAGGAGCCAGGTGCTTCTTCCTGGTCTCCCATGTGGGTGCAGGGGCCCATCCTCCACTGCCCTCAGTCAGCAGAGAGCTGGACTGGAAGAGGAGCAACTGGGACTAGAACCCGGTGCCCATATGGGATGCCGGCACCGCAGGCAGAGGATTAACCAAGTGAGCCACGGCGCCGGCCCCTCTTGTGCTAGTTTTCATATACATTTTGATCTATCCCTGTGTGTGTGTGCATGCAGGCACACCCCTGTGTCATACTAAGTTAATCAACTGTTTTACTTTTATTTATTTTTGCATATTATTTGGATTCCTCATATTTTGGTAATAATAGTAGTTCTTGGACACAAGGCTGGAATAAGAAGTTCTGAAAGTTGGGGCCAGCACTGTGGCCAGTGCTTTAACAGCAAGCCTGAGGTGCTAGCATCCCATGTGGGTGCTGGTTTTGGTCCTGAGTGCTCCACTTCTGATCCAGTTCTCTACCAATGCACCTGGGAAATCAGCAGAAGATGGCCCAAGTGCTTGAGCCCCTGCACCCACGTGGGGGACCCAGAAGAAGCTCCTGGCTCCTAGCTTTGGATTGGCTCAGCTCTGGCCATTGTGGCCATTTGGGGAGTGAACCAGTGAATGGAAGACCTCTCTCTCTCTCTCTCTGTCTGTCTTTTTCTGTAACTCTTTCAATTAAATAAAAAAATAAATCTTTAAAAATAAAGTTCTGAAGGTCAGGAGAAAAATTACACTATTGTTTCATTCAAAAAGGTTTTAAATGGAGGGTCCAACTTTGTCACACAGTGGGTAAATCACTGATTGTGGTGCCAGCATCCTGTAATTGAGTGCTAGTTCAAGTCCTGGCTGCCCTGCTTCCCAGCCAGTTCCCTGCTTATGTGCCTGATAAAGCAGCTTCTGGAAAATGGCCAATGATCTGGGGCCCTGGCCACTCATATGGGAGACCTAGATGGAGTTTCTGGCTCCTGGTTTTGGCCTGGACCAACCCTGGCCATTGTAGCTATCCGGGGAGTGAATCACTGGATGGAAGATCTCTCACTTCCTCTCTACTACTCTGCTTGTTAAATAAATAAATGTATTTTTAAGGTGTCAAACAGAGAGCATTTTACTCACTGTTACTCAGGGCATCAGTGAGTTCTATAGGGCCTCAATGTGACCAAATGTTAGGAATGCTAAAATTGAGGGAAGACCAGCAGGAATGTGGCTTAAAAGAAGCTGGCAAAACAGGTGGGACAGATCTGGCATGGCCTTGTTAATTTGGGCTTTTCTAAATTCATTGGGACCAATGAAGGTTTTTGGTTTGCTTGTTTTAAACAGGGCTGGAATTTTGGTATATTTTTATTTTTTTAGATTTTAAATTTTATTCATTTGAAAAGCAGAATTGGGGGGGGGGTCTTCTATCTGCTGGTTCACTCCTCAAATGGCCACAATGGCCAGGACTGGGCCAGGCAAAAACCAGGAACCTGGAGCTTCCTCTGGGTCTCCCACATGGTTACAGGAGCCAAGGACTTGGGTTATCTTCTGCTGCTTTCTTAAGCACATTAGCAGGGAGCTGGATTGGAAGTGGAACAGCCAGGCCTTGAACCAGCACCAGTGCAGGATGCTGTCATCCTGGGTGGCAACTTTACCCACTTCAACACAATGCTGGCCACATCATTAAAGCATTTTAAGTTGATTCCCCACATACTCTTATTTGTGAGACAAAGGGAGAGATACTTGAATGTTGAATAGATTAGGAGAACTGCAAGGGTGTATGAATCAGGATGCTATATCCTATATACCATCTATACCACCTATACAGATCACTAAGGCTTTGTCTGAGAGGTTGCAATAATGGAGAGAACTGAAGATATGTTTGGGAGACAGACTTGTCAGAACTCCATGAATGATATGACAGTGGGGAAAATGAAGTGTCCAGAATGACTTGTTCACTGTCAGTTATGTTGCTAGAAACATTTGGATGATGCTCACAGAAATGAGACTTCTGGAGATAGAAAATTTTGGAGATCAGGTGCTCAGTTTCTTGAAATTATACTTTTGAGAGTCAGAGAATGCACAAAAAGGTGTAGGGAATGGTTAGAGGAAGGAATTAGAGGTCAGAGAAGAGACAGAGATTTTTAACTTGGGAGTCTTTGATAGCCTAGGTAGAGACACATTCTTTTAAATAGTTTTTTGCTTATTTATTTAAAAGGGAGAGTGAGTAAGCGAATGAGAGAACAAGAGAGATCTTCCATCTGCTGGTTCACTCCCCAAATAACAGCCAGGGCATGGCCAGGCTGAAGCCAGGAGCCCAGAACTCCATTTGGGTCTCACACGTGGGTACTGGGAACCCAAGTACTTGAGCCATCATCCACTACCTCCCAGGTACTTAAGCAGGAAGCTGGACTGGAAGCGCAGAGTAGCTGGGACTCAGGCACTCTGATATGGGATAAGGGCAATGCAAGTGGCAGCCTGCTGTGCCACAAAGCTTGCCTCTAGACATAAAAAAAAAAAAAAAAGATTTGAAAGGCAGAGTGACACACACACACACACAGTATTCAGCCACTAAGTATTTCGTACTTGACCAAGTCACTTATAGAAATAATCCGGCATTTTATGTGGCTATACACTTTGAAGAATGCTTATCTAACTTTTCCTTAAACCACTGATTTGTTATCATAGCACAGAGCTCATTTGAGGAACCAGTAAACTCTAGAAAATAAGCTTTTCAACCAAAAGGATATTGCTACTATTTTTCATTACAGCTGCATTGGATAAAATCAGTATCCATATCGCGTTTGAAATTCAAATGCCTTTGTCTTTCTTGTACCTAGTAAATGATTACAAAGGAAATGTCACTTCATGTAAGTCAGTTGCCACGATTTTTTCAAAAGAAACATATCTTCCTCACAGTTGTCCTAACCACGCAGCTTTGTGCTGCTTCAAGTTGCTCAAACTGAGCCGGGAGGAAGCCCTTAACTGCTTAAAAGGCCAGAGACAGAAACGGAGTATTGCACAACCCTCCACGACCGCGCGGCTTCGCTTCCAAATCTGGCCTTCGTATCATCCCAAGGCGGGAGCCGTTCGTCGCTCCACAGGCGGCAGCCCCGTTCTCCCCTCAATAGCAGCTGGGGTTTCCTCGTCCGAGCTTGGGGCGCCCCTCCCTTCGCCCAAGGTCCTCCTGAAAGCCGAGCCGCGCTGGCGCGGGGCCGGCGAAGTGGGGCGGGGGGGATCCCTATTGTCCAGCTGGGGAAACCGGGTCTCCCCGGGGCGACTCCCGCAGCAGAATCCCACCGGCCCGGGGAACCGAAGGTCCACGGGTCTCCGCGCCGCTCCCCTCCCCCGCGGCCCCATTGTCTGACTCGCCCCGCCCCGGGGGACACGTGCGCCTGCAGCTTCCCGAGCGAGGAGAGCGCGGGGCGGCGGCGGCAGCGTGGACACCGCTTGGAACGGCTACGCGGCGGCTCCGTGGGCGGGGGCCGGCGCGCACGGACCGGTGGGTGCTCTCCCCGGAGCTGCGGTCTCGCACCGCGCCCCCTGCCTCGTCGGCCCGGGACCTGGCAGGCGTGGAGCGGACGGCGGTGGGGGTGGCGTGCGCGTGGTGCGGCGGTGGGGGTGGGGCGGGGCGGGGTGGGGAGATGCCTGTCTCCTGACAAAGGAGAACGAGTGGGACACGCTGAGCCGGCCCGCCCCGCCTGGAGGGGAGCGGGAGGGGGAGTGTCGCGAAGGGAAGGGGCGGGCCTTTCATTCACTCTCTGCCCCTCGGCCGCCGCCGGAGCGGAAGGGCGGGGTCTCGCGCTCCCCCGGAGTGAGGAGCTGGGGAGGCGGCGCGGCGTGGGGGCGGAGCCCGCGGGCGCGCGTCCCGAGGCGTAGGCTACGTCGTCACGTCAGCGCGGGAGAGAGAAAGAGAGGAGCCGACTCGGCAGGGACTGGGGGACGGGGCCGAGAGAGCGAGAGAGGGAGGGAGTGAGCGAGCGTGCGAGCGAGCGAGTCAGCGAGAAGGGGCAAGGCGGCCACTCGTGCCTGAGGGACCGCAGACGGGAGTGGGGGCGGCGAGGGGAAGGAACACAGAGGGAAGAAGAAAGGCCGAGAGGAGAAGGCGGCCGGAGGCGGCGGCGGCGGCTGCTGCGGCTGCGGCTGCTGCTGCTGCTGCTGCTGCTGGTGGTGGTGGTGGTGGTGATAGGGGAGAAGGAGGAGCAGGCGGAGGGCAGGGGCTGAGTGAGTGAGTGAGAGAAGCGGACGCGCGAGGGAGGGGAGGGAAGGGGGGGGGTCACGCGGGGGCGCGCGCGCGCACCGGGAGCGCGCTCGGAGGCGAGTGGAACTGGATCGGGTTTGCTGCCAGCGGCGTGAGCTTCGGCCGCCATTTTACAACAGCTCCACTCGCGCCGGACACAGGGAGCAGCGAGCACGCGTTTCCCGCAACCCGATCCCCTCGGACAGGATTCCTCGGCCACAGCCCAACGGGGAGGTAACGACCGCTGGGATCCGGGTCTGGGAGGGGAGCTCCATGACATTGTGGAGCGAGCTGGGGGAGGGCGGCGCGGGGAGAAACCGGCTTTTCTGGAAAATGGATTCCAAGGGGTAGAGGAGCACGTTGACTGGGGCTGCCAGGGAGTAGGCCGCGGTCCGCGCCGACACTTCCTCCTCTCCATGTGCTGCCGCCGTTCGGGCTTTGTCTGCGGCGCCCCGGGAGGAGGCGCCTCCGCAGCCCCGTGGCCCGCGCGGACCGCGAGCGGCCGCGGAGTTGGTGCTGTCGTGGCCATCGCCGGGGCGCGGGAGTGGGCGGAGAGGAGCAGGTCCTGTCCCGCAGCCGTGTGGTGGGCTTGGGCGGTGCTGGGGTCCCGCAGGCGTCGGGCTGTTCGAGGAACGCCCTCACGCAACCGGCTGGTCGGCCCCAGCGCCGCAGTCACTGCACTGAGGGGCGAGGGGTGGGGGCTTTGCCCCGCGCGCCGCAGGTCACGTCTCGGCCGGGCTGGCGGCCCGGGGGTCGCCCGCGTCGGGGAGAGCCTGGGGCGGAGGGCCATGTGTCAAGGCGGAGACGGCGGCGCTGGGGGGGCGGGGAGAGCCTGTGGCCTGGCGCCGCCGCGGCCGCGGTGTTGAGGGGCGAGGTTGTGCTGCTGCAGCTTTCTGGGGGCTCCGACCGCGGCTTCGGGTTGATGTTGGGAGCCGGTGACGGTCGTCTTGGCCTGGGACTCGGTGGGATTCCGTTGAAGGAAGTTGTAGGACATTTGAAGGCGCAGAGCACGTGTTTCCAATGGGCTCCTGGCGGCCGCAGTGGTGAGGCTGCTGCTTTGGGTGCGGAGTCGGGGGCGGGCTTTGGGGTGCGGGGGGTGAAGGGTGGAGAAATTGGGTGGTGGGAAGGTGGCTTGTGTGAGCGCTTTGTTCTTCACTGGCTGTTGTTACTGATATCCATAATCGGCAGGCGGGAAAAGCGCGCACTTTTGGGGGTTTATCTTGGAGAGGGACGAGCCCAGCTTTTTTCCACATACACACATCTTATTCTTGGTGTGGGCACAGCTGCATGTGGCCGGCTGGCTGGCTCGTCTTCGTGCTGATTGGGCTTCATTTGTAATAGGGCATTTCCTAGGGAGTGTTAGCAGGTGAGTCAGGGGTGGTGCTAAGGAAGAATATAGTGAATCGGTCCTTCTGTGCTCCGCGCACCAAATCTGGCTTGTCAGGTGTTAGTGACTTTAAAGTAGGGCTTCTTTAAAGGGAGGCACAGTCTGGTTAGTGTAGTAAATGGTAGAGAAAGTAAATATTGGGGCTCTCATATTGTCCTCTATACTTTTTGAAGATCCTAGTTTAATTTTGCTTATTGCGTTTGAACAGATCTCTGGAAACATGGCTACAGAACATGTTAATGGAAATGGTACTGAAGAGCCCATGGATACTACTTCCGCAGTTATCCATTCAGAAAATTTTCAGACATTGCTTGATGCTGGTTTACCACAGAAAGTTGCTGAAAAACTAGATGAAATTTACGTTGCAGGTAAGAACAAACACTTGCAAAATTACATATGAAATTTTACTATTGGATTTCTGGCTTTGAGCTAAAATAGCAACTTTTTGTGGTTTCCAATAAGTGTGGGAACTGGAGTTTGGTCTTGTGATAGTCGGTTAATTTGGGTTTGAACTAGAGGTTAAGGTGTGTAGATGGGGGGATGAAGGGAGGGTTAGGAGCTGAAGGCTGGCTGCCTGATGGATAAGTACATGACACTAGCAACAGCTGTTAAAAGTTGGGAGCAGGCCATGTGGTGTTTTTTTTTTATTGGTATTTTTATAGTAGGGTTCTTGTTAAGTAGTTTGGTAACTGTAGACTTGTTCTCTTGTCTTGGAGTGGCTGTTACTTTTTCTAGTGGTATTTGAAATTGAGTAGATTCAGTTGTCATGGTCGGTAGTTGGTTGATCGTAGGTGTTGTAAATCTATGTAGTTACTATAGAAATACTGTGGTGTTCAGAACTATCCAACTTGGACACAAAGATGTAAAAGAAGTTAACTCATGAGTATTTTAAGTGTGGTTGAGAGACCTTATTTAGTTTAGGGATGCAGTTCAGAATGGCAAAAATTGTGTTTTTCATTATGCAGATAAGGGGGATAGAAGAATTGTTAGTTGGCACACATGTACCCATATTGGCCAACATGGTCTTTTCTGGGAACAAAAAAAAAAACTTTCCCCCAAATATAAATGTCATTAACTAATTTCGTTTTTTTCTTCTCTAGGGCTAGTTGCACATAGTGATTTAGATGAAAGAGCTATTGAAGCTTTGAAAGAATTCAATGAAGACGGTGCATTGGCAGTTCTTCAGCAGTTTAAAGACAGTGATCTCTCTCATGTTCAGGTAATATTAATGTAGTGTCATTGTGAAGAGAATTGAAAAATTTGAGTACTTTTGATCTGCTTTGTTTTATTAGCTGCAGATATGATAATTTAAATATGAATGGGAAATGTCTTTACAGAACAAAAGTGCCTTTTTATGTGGAGTCATGAAGACTTACAGGCAGAGAGAAAAACAGGGGACCAAAGTAGCGGACTCTAGTAAAGGACCAGATGAGGCAAAAATTAAGGTAAGTCTTTAAAACTCCCTTAGTTTTATGGTTCTTTTAACTACTTTTTGTAACTTTGATAAATGTTCTTGGGGTGTGAACTTTATATGACTATTTCTAAAATGTTGACACAATTTAGTCATCTTTTCTAGTTTTTGAAGTTGTCTGCCTTTAAATTATTCTTATGACAATTTGCTGTTTTTTCAGTTTATCTTACTTAGCTATTGATGATTAAATTTGTGTTAGTATTACAGATAAAACATTTAAAGAAGTAGGTCCATTCTATTACTAGGTACTTTTTGGAAAAGTAAGTCTAGGATATTGTCAGTTAAATTGAAGTGGGAGGGAATCAGTTCATTTCATAGTGGTGGAGTGTGGAGTGTGTACTTTATTAGCTGGCTGCTTTTCTTAGAAATCTAGAACTCCAATGCATTTAGAATGTAAACACTGCTACCTTCCTTTTGGATTAGTATGGTTTATTAATGTTTAATTCTAAAAGCAGTAATCAGGTTGTTTAGTGTGGAAATACAAATGAGAGAACAGACTGGGAGTGGAAGAGTTTTGGTTTGTTCTAAGGTTCTATGGCAAAATGCCTCAAATTCAGCTACATTTTGATTTTGTTGGTGAGTTTTTTAGCTCGTAGAAAATATTGTGATCATGTTAGTTTTTAACCTGCTGCTCTTGATAGTATGCCAGTGTTCTTCAGTCAAGAGTTAAAGCCCAAGAAAATCAGTTAAGGACATGGGTTGGTTTAATGATAGGGGATGAGGGTAGCTTAGAATATTGGAATATGGAAGTTAGCTGTTAATGTCAACCATGAGACTTTCAAAGATCTGATTGAATGAATTATGAATCTAGTTTTTCCATAGACAGGGGGAATTGTACCTGTTGTAATGATGTCAGTTGTTACTAAATCTACATCTGAAAGACTTAATAAACAATTTAGTTTATGGGACTTTCAGTTCTGTTTTTGGAAGGGAGCAGCTTAAATGCTTAATGGGACTGAAATTGTGGCAAGAAGGCATAGAAACATTTTTATAGGGAATTTGATAGAAGGGATAAGTTTCTTGTTATGGGTTCAACAGAGTTGGTATTTGGGTCATAGGAAGATAAAGGTAAAAAAAAATCATAGCACAGATTATGCATGAGAAAAAGGAAAGATGAGCCATTTAATGATTTAGTTTATCTGAAGGGAAATTAGTTTTTAGTTTGTTACATAGTTTTGCAGTCATACTTGGGTGTCATAGAAAAATGGCTTTTAGAACAGTGTATCTTTCTGTGAACATTTCTATTAGAAAGTTTAGAAAAGTTTTTATGAATACAGTGTTTTTTCATAAATATTTAATGTACTTTGAATGGAAGCTGTTTAGATTCTGTTTAGTCATTTATTTTCAGAGACTAAGGTGACCTTAGATCATTTAACAGTGCTTTGATAAATTTTGTCATGTGGCTTCTGTTAGTCTTATTTCAGAATTTGCTAGTTAATTAATGGATTGGTTTTATTTTGAAAACTGATTTTGCACTTTGTGGTTGAGATGGCAGAGAAGAGGAATAATTCTTGACACTTTTGTTAGGGTAACAGATTACTTTTAAAACTTCTGCCTATAGTGGATAAAGAGAAAATCCTAATGTTTTGAGTAAATATTGTGTAAATTTTAACAATGCACTTTTAGGGAGATAAAATGTAGCAGTTATGTCACATTGTTGCAATTTCATGAAGTTTTCAAAGTTATTTTGGCTCTATATTTTCTGAGTAACCCATGCTGTCCTGTGAAGCATGGTACTTTAATGTCAGATAATAAGGTGGTTTTTCCTGTAGATCCCAAGTTTCTAGACTTGGTTGAGGAGTGTAATTTCTTCAAAGTTGACAAAATGCCCAGAATGGCAGTGTGCACCCTGGAGTTGGGTGCAAGGAATTTATTCTGTAAGAAATTCAGATTTGGGAGACACACAGCCAGAGCAGTTGGATTTTTTGGGGAGGTATTGGCAAAGTAGATACACCCTATCTTGAAAGTTGCTGGTGAATTGATCTTAATTTTTCCCTCAGTGACCATTGCTCAATAAATAATTACAGACTAGAAAATGATTTGAACAGGACACTAAAATTTTGACAGTGAGTTAGAGGTGTAATCAGTGCGCATAAAAGGGAAAATTCTGAAACACAGAGACCTGTTCATGGGAGATAATTGCTAAGATAACTGTAAAGATTTTTAACAAGATGGATTTTTCACTGTTAAATGCATGGGTGTGGCCTTGTGAATTCAGTGTATTAATGATATTTGAACTTTTTAAGGCACTCTTGGAAAGAACAGGCTACACACTTGATGTGACCACTGGACAGAGGAAGTATGGGGGACCGCCTCCAGATTCCGTTTATTCAGGTCAGCAGCCTTCTGTTGGCACTGAGGTAAAGAAACTAAAAACTTGCACCTTTTGCAATAAAAGCATGGGTATCTCATTTCCTAAAGAAATTCTCCATGGTTTTCACTTCATATTTAATTTACAGATATTTGTGGGGAAGATCCCAAGAGATCTATTTGAGGATGAGCTTGTTCCTTTATTTGAGAAAGCTGGACCTATTTGGGATCTTCGTCTTATGATGGATCCACTCACTGGTCTCAATAGAGGTTATGCGTTTGTCACTTTTTGTACAAAAGAAGCAGCTCAGGAGGCTGTTAAACTGGTAAGCCTTTTTTTTCCCACTTCAATATTCATATTCACTGTGTTTAATGCCATGTTTTTTCTTCCCTGTGCTTAAGAGTTTACCAAATATTTCTTGAACTGCTGATTCAGTGTTGTCTTTCACTATGTAAACACTGCAACAGTGTTCTTTGCAAGTATAATTGATAGGATTCATGATCTATAAGGTAATGTTCCTGATTCTTGAACTTTCTGGCTTAGTGATTTGTTTAAATTTATAGGAATGTGAAACAGTTTAAGAAAGTAACTATGATCTCCCATAATTTTCGGACACACCTGGGCCATCCATTTTTTTTTAAATAGTCCACAAAGACATGATAAATTCTTGGTTAATTACGAATTTTGTGGTGAGTGGCAATAGGACATAGTTATTTCCAGTTTTTGTGTTTTTTTTTTTTAAACACTTAAAGTAACTTCTTCCAGCTAGTTTTATTCTGTGACTCAAGTGGTTTCTGAATTTTTATAGTTAGAAATGAGGCTTAATTTTAAACCTAGGGAATGTACACGGTATATAACCAGGGAGAAGCTTTGTAGATGTGTCAAGTATTTTCTCATTTTGCCTTATCTGGCTTATAGATTTCATGGATATTCTAAAGCAAGCTTAAATCATCAGAATTATTTCTCCTGAAAAATTTTCCTCTTCTCTTCCCATCAGATACACAAGTTCAGTATCTTCCATTATCTGAAATGCTTGGGGCCAGAAATACTTCAAATTTGGGGGAGTTTTTCAGATTGTGGAGCATTTCACATTAAGGACACTCAACCTGTATCTTTGTTTTGCTATTTTATGGCTTCAAACCCTCTACCAGTATGTGTAATATGAGTGGTTGGAGGTTGAACATTAGGAGAGTATGCTATTTGTAAGAATATAGATGTTGGCTGGCATGGCATAGTGGATGCCTGTGACACTGACATCCCACTGGGGTGTTGATTAGAGTGCTGGCTATTTATGATCCAGCTCTCTGCTAGTGGTCTGGGAAGAGCAGCAGAAAATGGCCCAGGTGTTTGGGTCCCTGCAACCCATGTGGGAGACCTGAATGAAGCCCCTGGCTCCAGCCCTGGCTGTTGTGTCCATCTAAGGAGAAATCAGTGGATGGGAGAGCTCGTCTTCTATCTCTCCTCTCTGTAACTCTCTCAAATAAATACAATCTTTAAAAAACAAACAAGAAAAAAGGAAATAGATGGCTTTAAAAATAGAATGCAAGGGCAAGATGTTTCACCTGGCAGTTAAGATGCTGGTTGGAACACCGGCATCCGATGTGCCTGGGTTTGAGTCCTGGTTTTGCTCCCAATTCTTAATTATGGTAGATCCTCACTGGAACCCATTTCTAGATGGTTTCTAGATACTTTAATGATACATCACTAGAGGTAGATGGTATATAATTCTATAGTAAGTAACATGGTTTTGAGTGTCCTTTAAAAGACATTCTAGTGGTAAGGGTCTTCAAAACATTCATGGAAAACACATTTTAAAAACTGCATGAATAGGCCGGCGCCAAGGCTCACCTGGCTAATCTTCGCCTGCGGCGCCGGTACCCTGAGTTCTAGTCCCGGTTGGGGTGCTGGATTCTGTCCCGGTTGCTCCACTTCCAGTCCAGCTCTCTGCTGTGGCCCGGGAAGGCAGTGGAGGATGGCCCAGGTGCTTGAGTCCTGCACCTGCATGGGAGACCAGGAGGAAGCACCTGGCTCCTGGCTTCAGAATGGCGCAGCACACCGGCCTTAGCGGCCATTTGGGGGCTGAACCAATGGAAAAGAAGACCTTTCTCTCTGTCTTGTCTCTCTCTCTGTCTTGTCTCTCTCTCTGTCTTGTCTCTCTCTCTCTCTCTCTCTAACTCTGCCTGTCAAAAAAAAAACACCCTGCATGAATTAACAAGTTTTTTTTTTTTTTTCAGCAAAAGAAGTCTTTTAATTTCCTTTTCCGTGAACTTTTTGAAGTACCCTCATAAAACTGAGAGGAATTGGATTTTTTTTCTTTTTAAAGAATGCTTTATGGGAGGTTTGCCTTAATAAAACAAAAGGACTAGGCCGGCGCCGTGGCTCACTAGGCTAATCCTCCGCCTTGCGGCGCCGGCACACCAGGTTTTAGTCCCGGTCAGGGCACCGGATTCTGTCCCGGTTGCCCCTCTTCCAGGCCAGCCAGCTCTCTGCTGTGGTCAGGGAGTGCAGTGGAGGATGGCCCAAGTGTTTGGGCCCTGCACCCCATGGGAGACCAGGAGAAGCACCTTGCTCCTGCCATTGGATCAGCACGGTGCGCCGGCTGCAGTGCGCCAGCCGCGGCGGCCATTGGAGGGTGAACCAACGGCAAAGGAAGACCTTTCTCTGTCTCTCTCTCTCACTGTGTACTCTGCCTTCCAAAAAAATAAAATAAATAAAGCAAAAGGACTAGACTTGTAGTTCAGGAAATGAAATAACTGAAACATCCTATGTAAAATCACAACATTTAAGTTGATTTCAATTTTTAAAAAGTTTTTTTTTGCTGCTTTGAGTTCATTTGTCAAAATGAATATCTCTTTCTGAAATATATTCTCCAAGGGAGTGTACTCTAGAAACTCCCTGTTTTGTGTCTTTTTTTATATTTGAGTTATAAGGTAAAATTTTATATAATTCAGGTGTCATTCTAGTTATTATATAAGTATAATGGATAATAAGATGGAAGCACTTCTCTTACTGCTTTCCTTTGTGTTGAGGAGTATCATAGGTTAAGGGTAGATACTTGGCATTTTTTGAAGAACAATGATTTTTCTATATTTAAAAAAAACTATCGTAAATCTTAAATTTGTGAAAATCAAAGAAGGGTTAATTGATATGAGTAGCTGAAGAAGATGCAGGAAGTTAGAAGCATCTCCCAAGTTTCATTAATTTAGGAAACACAGGGAGAGCTCCTTACCTTATCTAGTTCCCTCACCAAATAGTCACATTGAGTGGGGCTGAAACCCAGAGCCTGGAACTCAATTTGGGTCTTTCACATAAATGACAGGAACCCAGTCACTTGAGCCATGAGCACTTCAGCCTCCCAGGGTCTGCATTTAGCAGGAAGCTGGAGGAAGGAACTGGAGCTGGGCATTGAAACCAGGTACTTGGACATGGGATGTGAGTTTCTTAATCAGTTTTGTAACTAAAAGGCCAAATATCTACCCCTCCAAGTTTCTTAAATGATGTTTTCCAGCCAAGATCTGCCTTGTTTTGGGGAGAGTGAAAAAAAAATCTGTAAATGATGATATTCTAGTAGGGGAAGCTGTATCTAATCTTGTGAAAAGGTGGTTAATAGCTTTTGCTTGAGTACTTAAAGAAGCAGGAGCCAGGTGCTACCTTGTTACCTTTAAATTCCACCTTAACCCTTTATTCAGATTTGTTGGGATGGTTTGCATTCTGTAGATGGGGATGTATTTGCTAATGCCATACAGCTAAATACCAGCTTTAGCTGTAGTATAGCAGTTTAAGCCAGTAGCCTGATTATTTCAATTTGGGTATTGTAGTGTTAAAAGGAGCTTAGGAAGTAAGTTGTGTCTGTACTACCTAAGTATTTCTGACACTTGACCATATTCACTGCTACCCTTCTAGCCCATGATAGCATTTGTAGCATTCAGATTACTGAAGAATTCTAATTTGTGTTGCCTTCTAATACCATGTTACATTAGGCAGTGTGGATTAGATCACAGCGTTTTCCTGCTGAAAAATAAGTTCCAAACAAGGCTCTGTCACATCTAGTTCTTATTGTTCTTCTTCATTACCTGTCAAGCCTTACTTTGCTTTCTTTTGTCCTCTTCTTAGCTATGACTGTTTCCATCTCAAGACTGCCTCTTGCTGGTCTTTTATGTATTTTGAGAATAGCCCAGTTGTTACGATTGTTACCTTACAATCAGCTCCTCTTAGAAGGCCTTTCCTAACTTTGAGCAGGTTATCATTCAGTTTTACCCTATGAAATTATCCTGAATGTGATTAAAAATAAGTTTTTCTTAGATTAACTTGAGCTTATTTCTTTTATATTTTTTGATCACAATAATTTCTTTTTTTTCTGTATCTTTAGCATATAGAACAGTACTATGTAGTGGGTGCTGAATAAATAACATGGCTGGCTTATTGGTGCCACCTTCCATCATTTATGACATTAGAATTTATGATAATTCTATATATTTCACGAATTGTATTTCTGTATAATTGGTTTTCTAGCCTCTGTTTGCAATATTCTGGTGAAAATGCTAGTGGTGCCTATATTATGAACATTGAAATAGATAAGATCCCAATTTGCACTTAAGAAGTTAAGATTTTAATAGCCACTAAGTTTTATTCAGAAAAGTGGTTCATGGACAAAACACCATAATGTATGTACAACCTTTTCAGTGAATGTTGCTGACAAAGTAGGTCCATGAAATATTTTAGTAGGAACTTAGCAGGTATTCAGTGTGTTCATCATAAAATCTGTTGGTACAATACCCAAGTTCTTGATTGTAGAATGTAAGGTATGAGAGGTTAACAATAATTGCAGTGGAATCAAATGGTAAAGACAGGATGAAGGGATATGCTACTTTGAGTTAGGGTTGTCAGAAAAGACTTTGTGATGAAGAGGCTTGAGCAATATAGGAAGAAAATGGGAAAACCTAGTTGCAGTAGTATTTTATAAAAATAAGTAGGAAATAAAACTTATGTAAAGTTAGTGCCAGGGGTTGGCATGTGGTACAGTAGGTTAAGGCACCACTTGGGATGCTGGGCTGCTCAACATCCTGTATCTAGAGTGTTAGCTATTCCATTGATATGCCTGGGAATCAATGGATAGTTCAAGTACTTGAATTCTTGCCACCTGTGTGGAAGAGTTCCTCATTCCTAGCTTCACCCTGTCCCTTCCTTGGCTGTTGGTAGTCATTTGGGAAGTGAACCAGCATATAGGAGATGGGTATTTGTCATTCTGCCCTTCAAATAAGTACATACATCTTTAAAAAAAAAAGTTAATGCTAGAATATTCATAATTGCTGGGATAAGCTGCAT